CAATTAATAAAAGGGTTTTTTGTCGGGACAAGGAATTTGCTTTATGCTCTTGGGAAGCCTCGGTCAGAACACTCCTTCGGATGTTCCTCAGCGAAAGGATCTCTCTTCAGCCGTCTCAATGCAAATGCTAAGCAACATTAACTGCTCCTTTCACCAACCTCCCCACCAGGCAAAGACAATCAGGCCCAACTCACTCTCCCGTCGGCTCCAGTTCGCTGATCTCGAACCAAACCAGGAGATCGTATTTGGTCATGCTCTGTCCCAAGCTGGGTTTACTCATCGTGTTGAGTTTGGTGGCTGGGACTGAAAGAGAAAAAGCTCTGGTTTGAAAATGAAAAGAAAACACAGTCTGTGAAAGACCTCTGAACACTCCTAAGGCTTCCTGGGGGTTTGTGAGTGTTGAGGACACTGGGTTGAGAAAGGCAGCTCTTGTGATGCTTAAATTAAGTTTTTCTGGCATGCTTTCCCTGATGGGTTAGGACTCATAAGCTCCAGCCTAAAATAATATTACCGTATTTTTCAGAGTATAAGACGCACCTTTCCCCCCCCAAAAAGAGGCTGAAAATCTGGCTGCGTCTTATACACTGAATACAGCATTTTTTGCCTCCCGAAACCCCACCCCCTTCACGAAAATGATGTTGCAAAGCCTTTAGGAGGCTTTCAGAGTGCTCCTAGGGGCTGGGGAGGGCAGAAATGAGCAGAAATTGGCCCATTTTTGCCCCCCCCCAGCCCCCAGCAGCACTCTGTAAGCTTCCTAAAGGCTATCCATGCCTTTTTGACAAAAAATGGGCCGGGTTTTGCTCGTTTTTGGCCCTCTCACCCCCAGGAGCACTCTACAAGCCTTCTAAGGGCTATTCGTGCCTTTTTTAAAAAAAAAAAGGGGGGGGGATTGTTTTCGCGAAAAACGGGCCGTTTTTATGAGATTTGCAGAGTGCAAAACTTTTTTTTTTTTTAAAAAAAAATTCCTCTTCAAAACCTTGGTGCGTCTTATACTTAAACAAAATCTCCATTCCTTCCCCACTCCAGAGGAAGGATACTGCAAAATCCCCATTCCCACCCCACTCCTGGAGCCAGCCAGAAGGTGACATTTGCCGGTTCTCCGAACTACTCAAAATTTCCACTACCGGCTCTCCGGAACCTGTCAGAACCTGCTGGGTTTCACCCCTGGCCTAAGGGTTGTCTTGACGCGGATCCCAGACTGATTGCGCTACTGACCATCTCGCTTGGGGAACCGCTGAGCCTGACAGCTGAGGACAGGCAGAGAGAGAAAAGGAGGCGACGGGTCAGCATCGTCTTGGAAGGTTGCCACGGCCGACGTCGCAAGCACGTTGGCATGCTGGGACATGGCGTCGAGCACGGGGGCGTTTACATAGTCAGACATGAGATACTTGACCAATTCAATTTTTCTCTCATGGTCTGGAGGAAGCAACGAGGGCGTGGGAGGAAAAGGCGTCAGGCAAAAGAGGCAACGGTGAGAAAAGAGAGGGAGGCATGGGGAGGAAGAGAAGATGGGGAGGAAAAAAACGGAATGAATGAAAGAATTCGACATGCACAGCTGAAAGCTAAACAAAAAAAAAACAAGGGGGATGGTGGAGTGATGTGATGAGCGAGGGGATGGTTACTGAGAAAGGAGCCACGTGTTAGCAGAAAAGAGTTGATACACAGGAGCCTGACACAATCTCCAGGGATGACAAGAATAGCAGTTTCTCTCCATCCAACCCTCCAGTTTTGGGGGGGTGAAGTCTGCTTTGGAATTGGTCTCAAGATAGACCTCTCCATTTGCAAACAGCTGGGCAAATAAAGGCTAGCCCCCAATTTGATCCACTGAAGGTCGGCTGCACAGTCAGCCAGAGAGTTAGGAGTTGGCCTTCTTGTCCAGTGACCGACTCCATCCCAAGGACTTAGGAGAGGCAGACGTTGTGGTTTAATAATACAAAAGGTCTCGTCACGAGACGCCATCAGCTATTGTTATCATTACTAATACAGAGAAGCTAGTGAAGTTTGCCTCTTCCTTTTCGTTCCAATGATTAATGCACATGTGGGGTCCCTGGCACTCAATGAGCTTGGCAGTTTTCTTGTAGACATTTCATTACCCAACTAAGTCACATCAGCACGGAGGATGTTATCTACCCTGTTTTCCCGAAAATAAGCCCCAACCAGAAAAGCATGATTTTTCAGGATGCATATAATATAAGCTGTACCCCAAAAATAAGCCCCAGTTAAGATCATCAGCCAGATGTCAATCAATCAATTTGTCAATTTAATGGGTTTATATGCCGCCCAATCCCGGGGGGGACTCAGGGCGGCTTACAAGTACGAATAAAATAAAATAACATACAGGGGAAGAACATAAGACAATACAAACATTGGATGCATTTAGTGCTGTATTCCTCCCCAAAATAAAGACCTAACCAGAAAATAAGCCCTAATGCATCTTTTTGAGCAAAAATTAATATAAAACCCAGTTTTATTTTTGGGGAAACACAACTGAAATGTCTGCAAGAAAACCTCCAAGCTGAGAGAGCACCAAGGACCCCACAATCCTCCTCCTCCTAGCACTGATGATGTTACCTAGTTGGGTAATGAAACGTCTGCAAGAAAAACCACCAAGCTCAGAGAGCACTGAGCAGCCCACAGTTCGACCCTGCGCTACAAAGATTCCCTTCTATCGGTACTAATGTATTTTTATTGTTATTTTCCATTCCATGCCATCTAACTCCAATGATTCTCAGCGATCCATGAATAACAACAAATTCCCACAACACTGTCAATAATTTACTAAGACTGTATTACTCTTATTCTTCTCTTCCTTCCTAGTATCTATCTCTCTCCACCTATAACTATAACCATCCTGCTTGTATCTTTACATTTATATTGTTTTTATTTGTTTCCTAGTATGATTTGATAGCTTATTTGTACCCTATGACTATCACTAAGGGTTGTCTCTTATGACTCTTGATGAATGTATTTTATTCTCCTTATGCAGAGAGCATATGCACCATGACAAATTCCTTATTGTGTCCAATCACACTTGGACAATAAAGAATTAATTAATTAATTCTACCGGTCTGTCCATCTGTCTATCTATCCATCTCTAATCTATTCTCTCTCTAATCTATTCTCTCTCTAATCTATACTCCATCCATCCATCTATGTCTAATCTATTTTCTCTCTTTCTCTTTCTCTCTCTAATCTATTCTGTCTGCCTCTCTAATCTATCTATATCTATCTAATCTATATTCTCTCTCATCAATTATCTACCTACCTACCTACCTACCTACCTACCTA